TCGCAAGGCTGGTGATACCGGTCGAATTCCGCAAGCACCTGACAACCTACCGACGACCGTTCGGAACGCGAGCCGTAAACCCTTTAATAAAAAGGTGACAGCGGCAACCTCACCGTACACCTTTTTATAACAAGGTAGTTGAAAAATTCAATGGGAAGGATGCAGCTGCAATCAAGATCGCACGGGAAGTACTCCAGCAAAATCAACTTGCACAAAACTTAATGTATAGGTTGAGTAAAAAATTCGTTCGTGTCGACGGCGACTCGCTCTTCTTGTAATGTTAATCTAAAATAAATTGATAAACGTATCTTATTAGGGTCAGTCTAGAGACGCTTTGTGTTCAGTATTAGGCAGTTCTCTCTCAATATTATTCGAGTCACAAGCGTTTAAAGATGAGGAAACAGAGATGGGGAGACTGGAGAGGATTGATACATAGGGAGACTTGATACATTTTTATATTTTCCACGTAAAATACAAAAAAGAAGCGTGAGCTTCAGCATATAGTGCTCTTTGTAGATCGCGTTAGGTTATGATTGTTTCAAGCAAATTTATTAACCTGAAATTATTTTATTAAAGGAAGTGAAATGTAAGTTTTTACTTCATTTATGTAGGAAGCAGGCGTTAATAGGAGAGTTCACGAATGCGTTAAATTCAAAACATGAACGAGAAACAGTTCTTGAACTCTCCTACGCCCGATAGGCGCGTGCGAATGAATGTGTGTGTGCATGCGTGAGCGTCGACGGTATTATGATCGCGGGATTGTTTTCATACACCGCGGCTAAAGAAGTAAACGTTGGCATCCGCAAAAACGAGCAGCGGGCGTTAAATCTGTTGACTTAAACGTACGAAATTTAAAGGGAACGTCAAGAACGTTTGGCCGACGCGCGGATAAAAGGACGTGCCCGCGGCGCGTGCGGGAGAGTGGCAGTTGCTCGAGAATCACGATACGAAGGAGTCCTACGATACGATACGATTACGGCTACGACAAACGATTACGATTACGGATTACGATCTTTTGTATATTACGGCGTGTGGGTGTATGTTACTGTCTCGGTTTTGTATTGTTTTTGTCGTCTCGTTATTTTTGTAATAAACGGATAGATACATTTAAAACATTCTATTCCTACATTTATATAAGGTTTTTGTCACTGTGTACTGATTTTTGTGAAATATCATTAATTTTACGTGAAAATACACTCAATATTACACATATGTGAAAACTCTCGTTGCTTTCAGTTTAAGGTTAAGTGTTGCTAGAATTATTGTTTTAAAATTTTACATTTAGGGAGGCATGAGACATATGTACCTTCAAGGGTGATTTGATACATGTATCATACCTCCCCAAAGAAATTTAACCTTACGTAATCTGTAATAGATATTCTTCAGCAAACAAAATTTCTATATTTTAATAGATGCCGTTTAAACGGAAGTCGAAGGGTCGTCAAAAGAATTCACCGGATGATATTAAAAATGCTGTACTTGAAGTTATTAATGAAAATAAACCAATAAGGACAACGGCTAAAACGTACAAAATTGATAAAATGACATTATCTATATACATAATTAAATATAAAAATAACAAAAATACAGTTTTTTATCCAAATTTCGTAACATCCCAAATATTTACAAGCGAAGAAGAAAAATTACTTGCAGAATATTTATTAACTTTGGCAAACCTTAATTATGGTCTTTCACCAATTTAAACCAAAAAATGTGCATTTTTATTTGTGAAAGAAAATAACAGAAATATTCCTCAAAATTGGACAATAAATGAAGCAGCATCGTGTGATTGGTTCCGAGGCTTTATATCTTGGAACTCTCAGCTCTCCTAAGAGCTCACTTCGTATTCCTGAAGCAACCAGTTTAAGTAGGGCGACTGCTTTTGATAAATATAGTGTGTCCCATTTTTACGAAAACTTACGAATAATATTTGAAAGAGACACTGTTGGTCCAGAATCAGTGTACAACGTGTACGAAACTGGAGTGACTACAAGCCACAAAAAATAATTAGATGCAAAGGACAAAAACAAGTTTCCAAAGCCACATCTGCCGAACGTGGTACTCTGGTCACAGTATGTTGTGCAATTAATGCTTTAGGACATTCCATTCCACCATTTTTCATTTTCCCTCGAATCTGCCAACAGGACTACATGACAGAATAGACCCTACCCCCCGAAGGTTCCATTGCAGTGACACACGAAAGTGGGTGGATGACAGAGGAAAATTTTATTAATTATCTCAATCATTTCATTAAGCATGCTAAATGCACTAAAGATGGAAAATTTCTTCTCGTTCTTGGCAATCATAAAAGTCATATCTCTCTAGAATCTATATCTCTGCAAAAATAATGGAATAATACTACTTACACTGCCACCATATACTAGCCACCGCCTCCAGCCGTTAAATGTTTCAGTTTTTGGCCCATTCAAAAAATTTTACAATGAACAAGCAGATTTATGGATGCTTAATCACCTTGGCCAAACAATAGCATTATGAAATGTAACAGAATTAGTCGGACAGGCATATAATCGAGCATTTACACCAGCTAATATTATAAAAGGATTTTCTACAACGGGAATTTACCCATTCAATCCTTATCGATTAGATGATTCAGATTTTGCAAGTACAGAAGTAAGTAACAGATCTTTTTCTGATTCATTACAAAACAATTCACACTCACAAATAAACATAGAAACCATAACATCCAAAGATAATGTGCCTGAAAAAAACCATGCATTACCTACCATTAATAACCCCAATCTACCAATAATAGAAGAAAATAACGCACAAAATTTATTAAAAAGTCCACAAGAAATCCTATCCTAAGCCATATCCTAAAGCAGCACCGAGGAAAAGGAAAGGCGGCAGAAAGCTAGAAAAAACCACAATACTTACCGATACGCCTGAAAAATTAGCTATTGAAGAAGAAATTAAGAGTAGAGAGAAAAAAAGCCTTTGAAGACTAATGTTGCAAAAGCAAAAAAAAATATATTTGGAAAATAAAAGAAAAATACACTCCACAGAAACAAGTGAGCAGGAACAATGAAAATCAAAAAGACTAACGCAAAGCGTTGATATTATGTATGTTGATATTATGGATTTTGAGAACGTACAGATATTGAGAGCGTAGGCGAAAATGAAGATGCGGCTTGCATTTATTGCAACTCTTTATATTCACGTTCAGAACCAAATGAGCATTGGATTCAATGTCAAATGTGTTCCAAATGGTGCCACATACAATGTGCTGGATTAAACATTCGAACAAAGATGTTTCATTGTGAAATTTCTACGAAATAAACTGCTTTGTTTTTACGTCTCATATCTCCATTATTATGCATCAACCCTCCTTCAGATGCAAGGCTTGAAACATTTTACATCATTTACGAAATAACATTTTTTTAATACATCTTTTGTCTAAGTTTAAGTTTGTTTTTTTTTTGTTAAAGAATAGGATGTTGAATGTAAATATGCAAAAAGATCATTAAAATATTATTTGTTTTCGTTTAAAACAATTTATCGTTCTTATCGTTCTTTATTTTTGAAAGAAGAAAAGTGTTGAAGAAATAAGAAAAAAAATGTATG